ACCTGCTGCCTATTAGTTTCATTGGGTGACCACTGGATCTTGTGTTATATGAAGGGATAAATAATACTTCCCTCTTTACTTTCTCTACACCAGTTATGATTTTATAGACCTCTATCATATCCCCCCTTAGGCATCTCTTTTCTAAGCTGAACAGTCCCAGTCTTACTAATCTCTCCTCATATGGAAACTCTTCTATCCCTCAAATCATTTTGCTTGCCTTTCTCTGTTATTTTCCCAATTCTAATATTCTACTATTCAATGAGTGGGTGTCGCATGGATTTATCTAGTGGCCTTATAATATTTTCTGTCCTATTATCTATCCTTTTCCTAATGGTTCCTAACATTCTGTTAGCTCTTTTGACTGCCACTGCACATGGAGTGCCTGCACACAGAACTATCCATGATCACTCCTAGATCTCTTCCTAGAGTGGTAACAGCTAATTTAGACCCCCTCGTTTTGTATGTAGAGTTGGGATGTGTATTTGTTTTCATTTATCAATATTGAATTTCATCTGCCATTTTGTCACCCAGTCACCCTGTTTTGCGTGATCCCTTTGTGACTTGTTGCAGTCGGCTTTGGGCATAACTCTCTTCACTAGTTTTGTATCGTCTGCAAACTTCACCACATCTCTGTTTTGCAGATCATTAATGACTAAGTTGAAGTGCTCTAGTCTCAGTACAGATCCCTGGGGGACCCCGCTGTGGAAACTGACCATTTATTCCTACCCTGTCTTTTTTCTGTTTCCTGTCTTTTAACAAGTTACTTATCCATGAGAGGACTTTTCCACTTCTCCCATGACAGCTTAGCTTGCACAAGATGAGGGACCTTTTCAGAGGCTTTCTGAAAGTCCAAGTAAACTATGTTTGTTGCCCCCTCAAAGAATTCTAGTAGATTGGTGAGGCGTGATTTCCCCTTACAAAAGCCATGTTGACTTTTCCCCAACAAATCATGTTCATCCATGTGTCTGACCATTCTGTTCATTATTATAGTTTCAACCTATTTGCCTGGCACTGAAGTTAGCCTTACCAGCCTGCAATTGCCAGGATCACCTCTCAAGCCTTTTAGCTACCCACCAGTCATGTGGTGCAGAGGCTGGTTTAAGTGAGAGGTTATAAACTGCAGGTAGGGTGCTGCGATTTCATAATTGAACTTCAGAACTTCCTTCCCCCTCCCTGTGACTTAGTTTCCCAATGGGTAGAGTGAGGATTATGGCTGTTGTTGTGCAGTGGGTGTCAACGGGGTAGGAGTGGAAGGGGAATAAATCTCTGTCTCTCCTTCTGTTCAGCGGGAGTGAAGTCTCAGACCATTGTCAAGACGTGTGCAACACCCAGCGCATGTAAAGCCGGCCTCATGTCTATCACATACTGGAATGGAAATACACTAAGGACGAACATGTCCTGCTGCATGGGAGACGCCTGCAGAGCAACCACGGTTACACGTACATCTCTCCACCTCTGCTTCTCCTCCCCCATTCCCTGCACCTCCTGTTCCCTGGAACCTGCCCAACGTTAGCACCAGGAGTGAACCCAGCTGACTCCACCCGGGGCGGGATCCAGGGGTCCCTGCTGCAAACCTCTCCCCGGCCCCTGCTGCCTCCGGCGTCCCCAGAGCTACAGCTCCCCCTGCAGGGGGCACCCAGGGCTGAGCTGTGCAGCCCCCAGCTGCTCTCTCTGCCCCGACGCCGCCTGGGGCTCGACCCCCGAGCTCACTGCGTTTGCTCCGCTTCTTCCCAGTGCCCCCGGCTGACCCCGAACCCAACGGCCGGAGCTGCCGTGGCTGCATCTTCTCAAACACAAGTTACTGCAAGCAAGGGACCATAGAGTATACTGGAGCCGAGACCCAATGTTTCTACTCAATCAAAAGAAAAGGCACGTGGTAACTTCCGTTAATTTATTCTGGGTTTTCCTTGTTGTTACTAGTTCATAACCATCCCTGAGTCAGCCCCAGAGCCCGGTTACTAGCTCAGTCTTTCCTTCCCATGGCTTGGACCTTTGTTCTTGGCATCATGTTTCAGGGGATCAGAAGACAAAGGTGCCCCCTTCCCGACGTAGCTTCGCAGGGCTGGTTTTGGAGTAACTGGAGGTGGGGAATTTGCATGAATGTTTCCCTAGAGATTCCCTGGGGAAAACCACTTACTGCTTCTTGATCCGAGAGTCCATCCCTGGCTGGCACATGGTTCAGTGCAGGCCTTTGGACCCCAGGTCTCACCTCTGTCCCAAACTCCTACCCTAGGACAGGATGCTGTGGGGTCTGCAGGATAAAGATATCGGCTGGAGATCAGGACACCTGGGTCCTATTCCCAATGCCGGCTCCTGAGTGACCTTGGCCAGTGGCTTCTCCTTTCTTTGCCTCCATTGCCCCTACCATATTTTGCCTAGATAGAGTTTAATCTGTAAACTCTTTGTGGTAGGGCCTGGCTTAGTATTGGGAGTCCCAAGTGCGCCAGGTGCTGCACAGACCCCGACCGAGATGGGAAACCCTCGTTGTGCCAGGCACTGAATAAGTTCATAGTGACAGTCCTTGCACCAAAGAGCTTGTGATCTAAACAGGCAAAGGAAGGAGCATTCTCCCTGTTTTACAGCTGGGGAAACTGAGGCACAGAACAATGTGGTGACTTGTCCAAGATCACACAGAAAGGCTGGGGCAGAGCTAGGAATTGAGTCTAGTTTTCCTGAGTCCCATCATGTTGTCTTAATTCCCGACTAAACCTCTCAGAGATCCCACTTCTGCTTTGCTGGATGAGTGGTGGGGCTAACACAGGCCAGGTCCAGGTGTTGTTGGTGGGCTCTGGATTGGGGCCGCAAGTGACTTGCTCAAGGAGACACTGTGTCTGTGACAGCAGAGGAGTAGGGAGAGGCCATCTAGGGCCAGACGGGCTGGAGGAGCAGAGCCAAAGGGGAAATGAAGGCTGTGGGGGCCTAGATGGGGCTCTGAGGAGAAGAGGAAGGGGTGATTGTTGTGCCCCACACCAGCTTGTGCAGTGGAGATGCTCCCCTGATGCCAATCACCTGCTTTCCTCCCCCCCCCCCCCAGGTGGAGATGACCCATTCGACATCCTGCACGGCTGCACTACCAAGTCCTACTGTGCCATGGAAATGAAGGCATTTGATTTTGTCCCAGGGGACAGCGTAGTTCCAGTCATGGACATATGCACCACAGCCTGCGACACGGCTGGCACCGGATTAGCCGGGCTCGTCCTCTCAGCCCTTGCTGGGATCCTCCTGCTGAAGCTTCTCTCGTGTCTGTGTGGATGAGCACGCCACGCTTTCCTGTCGACTTCCATGTAGACTTGCCGGTAGATTGTTCACCCCCGCCCCATTTCCTGCCCAAGGCCTTGTCTACACTACAGAGGTTTGTCGACAAAAGTTGTGCGGCTGGAATTAACCCGCTGTTGCCCGGGCTCCTGCACAGACACAGAGAGCAATGCATGGTGGGTAGCCAGCCCGCTGTGCAACTGGCCGCAGGGCGCTTTGGAAAGGGTTTGCAATGCCTCATGGGGCCAGGACAGCGTCACAGGAAGCTGGTGTTTCAATCCCATCCTTCCGTGGGCAGATTGCCAGCCACTTTTCAACTGAGGGGGGTGGGGAGAGTGTGTGACAGGGAGCGTGGCGGTGGTGGGGGGGAGAGAGATAAAGCATGTGTGTTGGGGGAGAGTGTGTCCTCACGGCACGCCGTCTCTCTAAGTTCAAACAGCGCCCTGACCAAACCGCCCCCCATCAACCCCGGGCTCTGCATGGCTCAGCAGTCTCTCTTCCCGCTCCCAGCAGAAGGAGCAGCCCGCTCTGCCTGCCTATGGGTCTGTGATTCCCTCCAAGGAGTTCTTCCACCGCCAGGAGCCGCATGGTCAGCAGCTCGGAGCTGTCCACGCCGAGGAATGCCAAAGCACAGCAGTCTGCCCCGTGCCCTCTTTGCCCCCCTCCCAGATCAGTCTGCCTGCCCGTTGTGTTCCTAGGGGCGAACAGGACCCCACATAAATGATTTGCCCCAGAGCAGAGCATGCAGGGCTGTCAGAAGTTCCCGGAGCTTTGAAAGGAGAGGGCTCATAAGAACATAAGGACGGCCAGACTGGGTCAGACCGAAGGTCCATCTAGCCCAGTGTCCTGTCTGCCGACAGCGGCCAGTGCCAGGTGCCCCAGAGGGAATGAACAGAACAGGGAGTCATCCAGCGAGCCATCCCCTATTGCTCAGGGCTGCCGACAGGGGGATGCCAAAAGGGGCAGCTACCCCAGGACCCAGAGATTTAAAAGGGCCTTTTGAATCGCCGCTGGAGCTCCGGGCGGTACGGGCCACACAGCGCTAAAGTGCTTCGCCTCCCCAGCCCCTTCTGCCCAAGGCCCCGCTCCTTCTGGGGACCAGGAGCCACGCCCCCCACACCTGGCTCCGGAGCCCAGCAATTCTGTCGGCAGCCCTGGGAGGGGTGTATGCCTGCAGGGCAGCTGAGATCAAAAGGGGAACAGAGCGGTCATGGCAGGCATTGTGGGATACTGGGGAAGGCCAGTTACGGTGACATAATGGACTGACGCTTTGTCGCTTTAACTTGGCCGCAAAAAGCTCTAGGCCGCCCGTCAGCAGTTTTACCGCCAAAAAGTGGCGTTGCAGTTGCACCTTTGCTGCCAAAAGCTGCCTTTTGCCAACTAAACTTTGTAGTGTAGACAAGGCCAAAGAACGGCCACTTAGCAGAGAATTTGTTAATATGATTTAATGCGTTGCCCATTCACAATAGTCTCTGCTATACAATGAAACAGGGGTGGGCAAACTACGCCGCTCCGGCCTGGAGAGCAGGGCCGCGGGGCTTGCCGACCTCCAACCCGTGCTCCGTCCCGGGGAGCGGGGGCTGGGGGCTTTCCGCACTCCGTCTCAGGGCGATTCCATCTTGAAGGAAAAGTACAATTCAGAAAAACTGGACGAGTTTTATGCCTCCTTGAGTGAAACGAAGTTCCCAAATATCCGTAAGGTGGAACAGAAAATCCTTGTTTTGTTTGGCTCCACCTATGTGTGCAAACAAACATTTTCCCTGCTGAATTACAACAAATCTCGCTACAGATCCCAGTTAACCGCTCAGCATATCAGTTCGGTATTGCGGATTTCCACAGCAAGAATGACACCGGACTTTGATGCCATTGTAAAAAAAGGGTGACCAGCTGCGTTGTTCACATTAATCAAAGACGGTGTGGACAGGGGTTACGTTTGGTTTAATTATTGTAATACGTTATTATGATGGTATATTTATAATAATAAGTAAGGTTTTCTGTTTATTTCCACTAAAATGTCTCTTTATTAAATAGAGTTTATTTAAATATCTCTGAATTGTTAATTTTGTGAGCGTTCATGGCCCGCCATGAGGCAGTCAAGGGGCAGGAAGTGGGAGGGGCCCGGGGCCAGGCTGTTTGGGGGGCACAGCCTTCCCTACCCGGTCCTCCATACAGTTTCACAACGCCGATGTGGCCCTTGGGCCAAAAGGTTTGCCCACCCCTGCACTGAAACAAGACCACTTGGCTAATTGCTCACCTTTAATAAGATCGGGCAAATTTCCTTTTTCATTATCCCCCATGGGCTGGCTACGGTAATTACCATATAACTCCCATAAGCACCTCAAATAATTTCTCTAATGACACAATTTTTCCTTGCCTTCACCTTATTTATTACAATTAATTTGTTGTTTTTTACCTGGATTTGGTTAAACAGCTTAACAATGTCATGCGTATTATACACCGTCCTCTTCCTCAGTAGCCAGCGTCTCAATGCCATCGATGTTCGAAATAGTTAACGTGTCTTTTGATATCAGCCCTGTCCCAAATGGACATCCAAGATACACATAATCCTGAAATGGAACCAATCAACCCATGTGAAATTTGGAGTCACATAGCTCAGAAGAACCAGACTGTGGAATAACCTCTTGCCCTTATATTAACAGAGGGTCCTGTGGCACCTTTGAGACTAACAGAAGTATTGGGAGTTCCATTCCATACGGCTAAATGCAGTGCCTTGCATGGTGTCAGGTATCACAGGGGTAGCCGTGTTAGTCTGAATCTGTAAAAAGTCTCAAAGGTGCCACAGGACCCTCTGTTGCTTTTTACAGATTCAGACTAACACGGCCACCCCTCTGATACTTGTCCTTATATTGAGTTTTGTGCAGGTTCCTGATAAGATGCCACAATATTAATTAAGGAAGAAGTGTAAACCAATTACACATTTCTTTTTCCACAATCACCCAGTTCATCCACATTCCAATGCAAATGATTGAAAACCACAATTATATGCATAACCTCACTGAGCTCCATAAAACACATGTAAGGAACAGTTAGACCTCTGTTTATAGTTGATTGCATTCTTAATTGTCTGTAAACGGTAGGTTGAAATGTAGTTGAACACTCTGTTATTTGTAGGTTTATCTTTCCTTCTTTCGATGCCTGGAGGTTTCTTCCCAGAGATTACTAGCCAAAATCCAAATGACCGGGTTGCTACTCAGTTCCAGCTGGTGTGGCTAATATTGGCTAATAGTCTCCTAGCCAGCTTGCCAATTATTAATTAAAATTAGGCTTGGGAGGATTCGATTTGTGGCAGTAAGTGTTGATTAAAAATCGATTTCATTGTACACACATAAACCAACAAATAATATTTCCACCGGGCATAATCAAAATGTAAAGATAGGTGGAATACAAAACTGCTGCTTGGTTTAGATTTTTAATTTAGATTTTTTATAAATGGACCAGTGAACAAATAGTACAAACAGGTACAAGTTATTGATTTAAGGCTATTTCCTTTTTGTATTTTGAGACGTGATGTCACCAGTTTGTGTTTTAACAGTTATGAAGTTTTAACTTTTTAAGTCTCAGTATCTATTGGCATTAAACAATTGTCTGACCTCATTAAAATGTGTAGCCAACATCTCAGCTATACTTGTAGCTGGGTATTAAAAATGTTCAGGAGAGCAAATAACCAAGCTTAACTGAGTTGATTGCCTAAGACAAAGCAAGACAACCCAGAACAGAAAGCGTGAATACACCATGAACCCTTTCAGGAAACTTTTTCAGGGAATGTTCACCTTACTTGGTAGGTGTTTTTCCAAGATTCACCCTCAGACCCACTTCAGTTTATATATGGTTGTTTACAAGCTAAAAGCCCCTGTAAATCTCTTGAAGTTTAAGTTCGACGCACGAGTTCCTGCAAGCACTACCTTTGGCACTTCCCTTTTCCATGTCGCGTTTGGAT